TTGCAGCCCCAGTGAGGTGTGAAAGGTGACAGGACATGCCACTCCTTCGGGAGAAGCTCTGGGAACAGGGCAGAGGCTTACCCTTTCACCTGGGAAAGCTACATGCGTAAAGGAACTCTGTCTGTCCCAGGAGGACGTGGGTGAGGAAGTCAGGAGAAATGCGTGTCAGTGAAGGGGACTGGGGTGTAACCTGCACAGGCACCTTACTTGTCTTCTGTGTTTCCCTGTCACCTCCCGCGCACCCTTCTTTCTTTTGTCTTTAGCTGGACGTGGTCTTTAAGCCTGAGTTCTAAGCCACTCTGGGAGTTACTCATCTTCCGCTAGGTGCTCCCCTGTACACACGAGGTACACACGTTCACCTTCGGCTTTTCTCTTGTTGGTCTGTCTAAGGGCCACAGCCTAGAACTTAGCATAGAGGGGAACTTATTTTTCTTCTGCTACAGGCGGTGTTTGGAGGTGGGGGTCTTTAGGGGGTAAGTAGGTCATGGGGCAGAGCCGTACAAATGGGATTAGTGCCCGTGTTAGAAGAGGCCAGGGAGCCAGCTCACCTTGTCTGCCCTGTGAGGGTAAAACGAGGCAGCCGTCTGTGAGCCAGAAAGAGGGTCCCACCAGAACGGCACAGGCTGGCACCCTGATTCTGGACTTCCGGCCTCCGTAACCATGAGAAGTAATTTCTGTTGTTTATAAGCCACCAGTCTGTCGTGTTTGGTTGTAGCTGCCCTGCCTGAGACACAGATGTAAGCAGCTACAGGCATTTTCCAAGATGTGTCCTTTTCTGCATGTGCAGGAACACACACATACTCACACGTGTGCACACGCACGCTCGCACACACACACCTCAGCTGGTCATAGCCCGTCTCAGTGTCACCTTTGCTGTGAAGCACTCGCTGACTGCTGCAGGGGACATAATTGTTCCTCGCTCTGTGCTTCCACAATTCCAGTTTCCAATCATGAAGAGAGCCTTGCCCCCGAACGTTGTATTTGATTTGTGGCAGTCTGTCTCTCCCGTTTGACTCTCAGCAATCCTGTATCTTCTTTCTTTCTTTTTTGGCCGTGCCATGCAGCTTGAGAGATCTTAGTTCCCCAACCAGCGATTGAACTCTTCCCCGCCCCCCGCCCGCAATGGAAGCACGGAATCCTCATCACTGGACCGCCAGGGAATTTCTAATCGTGTCTTATTAATCTGTGCAGTGTCAGCACTCAGATACTACCTAGCACGTGTTCAGGCCTCAGAACTGTTAGGTGGGTGAGGAATGTAGGACAGGTAAAGCTTTTGAAATTGTGGCTTGTCTTCTTATCAGAGAACTATATTTTTATCTACTTATTTCTCAGCTAAAGGAATCTCAGCATTGGAGAGGCTGAGATTACTTGTCCAGGGTCATTTGACTTCCCTTCATCTCAGCTCCATCGTAGCAGGTTGGGCTGTAGGGCCCTTCTCTGAATAAGCAAGCTAAGTGGACAGCAGTGGGGAAATGACCAAAGGCTTTTGGTTCTACACAAAGTGAAGTTTCCTAAAATTGTGCTGTGGGCTCTGGTGCTTTTCCTCCTGGCTGATGGTAATGGATTCTGTCGAGGAAGGAAATGACATAGGAGAGGTGGGCCTCCAAACTTACATTGTCGGATTCCATGGAAAACAACCTGGATGTCATCTTAGACGGAGCAACACCGAGTCACCCAGAAGGAGCACTGGGGTGAATTGCGGAATCAATGGGCAAAGGAATGAAAGGGGCTTGAGTAAATTTGAGTCAAATTGGATGCCGTGATCTTCTAAAATTTGTCAGATCCAAGGGGAGCTCTTCGAAGGACCATGGCTTCAGCCTGTAAGTGGTTGTGCAGGTGTTTAAGGTGCTAAGGACATAGTAATGCCAGAAGGCCGAGGACTGACCCTTCTTCCCAGAGGGGGACTGGGCTTTGACCAGAAATTTTCAAAAGGAGTCGTGATGTAAGGAAGGGAGAAACACAGACGTCTTCATGTGTCTGGGCGGTGGGTGGGGCTCAGAAGTGGTGACCTCCGTGGGGAGAGGACCAGGGGATTTTTCCTGAGGTTTGCAAACAAGTCACCCAATTCACTTACATTTCATGTTACACACAAATAAGTAGAAAAAAATTTTCTAAAGATGCCGTTATTGATATTTGGCCAAAGAAAATGTCACTTGTCCATATGCAGAACCCCGCCCGTAAGTCCCACGAGCCCCTGCCCCCCTCCCTGTCTTCTCACCTCTTGATGTCACCATTGCCATGGTTACCCAAGAAGGTGGAAAACAGAAAACTGCTGGAGAAAAGGCCAGTCACTGAGAAGGGAACCGAAGACAAACTGGATATCCAACAAACAGATTTAGAATTCAGATTTTCAAGGGATTAGAAAACTTTCTCTCTCTTTAAAGGAGAGTTTAATGGGGGTGGGGGAAGGCTTTATATCACACTCCGAGACTCAGCAGAGCAGGTGCCCAAAGAAAGAGGAAGCTTGTGAGAGGTGAGCCGTTTTCCTGGGAAGGACTGGTCACTTCCTTCTAATAAAACACAGAACAGCACCATTTTCCTGTGGTGTCCTGGACGACACAGCAGTGATACAGCCCCTGGGAGGAGGAGCGAATCAGCACTGAACGGAAGCGGCACTACGGGCTGTGCTTCTGTACACCCCCCGACGCAGACTGGACGTGGAGCGATCAGATGAACACGGGCGTGCGGCTCATCACACACCAAGGTTACTGTTCTGCCAGCCTAGGGGTTTTAAGGTGAGGCAGTAGCAAAAAGCCTTTGGATGCTCAACCCCAAATTGTATTCTGTTACCTTTTAACACAGGCACAGGGGCTCTGTGGGGCACCTGACTACAGAGGCAGGGAGGTTCCACGCAAACCAGCCTCGGCAGCCTCAGTGCTGCGGTAGCTCCTGCGAGTTCAGAATGTTTCACTAGTGACTTCCGCGCAGAAATTATGTTGAATATGAGAGCTAGTTATCTGTGTCAATGTGGTTGAATTACTGGAATCTTGACTCTGTAGGGAGAGGTCTAAGAGTCGTACTCTGGTCCAGCGTTTCTTTCTCACTCTGAGCCCCCAGCCCTCACCAAGAGGCTTGCTGCCTGTGCACTTGGGTCCAAGGGCTGGGAGTGGGCTTCCACCTGCTATCTGTGGGTGAAGATTCCAATATAGTAAACAAGAAAGAATTCCTGGGAAAGAACTGTGGGGCTAGTAACACATGACCACTTGAGGAACAGAACGGAGGGCTGTAGGTCCCGACACCATGGGGCCCTGCTGACCATTGGGGAACTGTGTACATTTCACCACAGGGAAGCGAGGTGCTCTGCCTGCAGGAAAGCAGGACTGTCCCTCTGAAGCCTTTTATTCCCCCCTTCTCCTCTCCATCCCTGTTTCTCTAAGAGCAGTGCACTAATCATAAAGAATGGGAAGATTTCTGCTCTTCAAGAAACCAGCGCTAACTAGGGCATTAACAGTTCAAGACTGGAGCGGTGGGACTTCCCTGGTGGCACAGGGGATAGGACTCCGTGCTCCCAATGCGGGGGGCCGGGGTTCGATCCCTGGTCAGGGAACTAGATCCCACACACATGCCGCAGCTGAGTTCACGTGCCCCAACTAAGGAGCCCAGCCGCAACCAAGACCCCGTGCCATCATATAGATTAAAAAAAAAAAAGATTGGAGTGGCTTTGCCAGCTGGTGTGGGCATAATCAGCATAACAGTGGTTAATCGTGAAACGCTACCAGTCCTGGGTGGGGGCAGCGACACCCTAGGTGCAGGGAAGGGGCCTTCTATCCACCCTCCAGTCCTCTGACGAGGCGCTGACATTTGCACTGGCTCCCAGGCCCCGCCCACCCTCTGCTGGGTCTCCGGCAGCCGGCCCCATGCCCTGGCCCTGCCGGTGGTGGGCTACAGGAGGGACAAGTGTCCAGGGCTCAGTATCCGCTAGGTCCAGTCCACCCGGCGATAAGGAGCAAACCCGCACCCTTCTGCCCGGAGGACACGGAATCTGGCCAGAGGCTGGGCGTGGGCGTGGAGGCCACCGGCAGGGCAGGAGCAGGAGAGCACCCTGTGGACAGGGCCCTCCACGCAGCACGCGCACACACCCAGTCTTCTCCGTGCACCTGCACAGGCACACGCCTGGCCTCCTCTCCTTCCTGTGCACGTACACATGCACCCGCCCATACACAACCACGGGCACAAACCCAGCCTGCTTTTCTCCTCTGCGAGCACACATACACGCTGCACACACACTGGAACCCCGCTCCTCCAAGTCAGCACATCTGCACGTGCACGCACACACACACTCGACCCCTGTCCTCCGTGTTCGCATGTATACCTTGCCCCTGGCTGTGCACACACGCACGTGCACACCCATCGCTTGGCCCCCGTGTGCATACACACTGACCTGCACACCTTGCCCCTGTTCCCCGTGTGCCTACACATGCATACACACCCCCAACCCCTGTCCCCCGGGTGCACACACATCCACACACACCAGGCCCCTGTCCCCCGAGTGCACACACACGCACTTGCACCCTGGTCCCTGTCCCCCATGTGCGCACACACGCCCGTGCACCCCCTGCTCCGATCCCCCGGATGCGCACACATGTGCACACATCCCAGCTCCTGTCCCCCGGGTGCGTACACTCGCCCGTGCACCCCCGGCTCCCATCCCCCGTGTGCGCACACGTGCACACATCCCCGGCCCAGCTCCCCCGCGCGCGCACCGCCGCGTCCTGGGCCAGGCCCTCCTCTCCATCCCCGGTCAGCGCGCGCGCACACACGCGGGCACGCGCAGGCGCAGCCCATCCTCTCGGAGCTCGAGCGCGGGCCTCCGGGCGGGAGGGGGAGGGGAGGAGGGGGAGGGGAGGGGGGAGGGGGGAGGAGGAGGAGGAGGGAGCCGAAGGCGCGAAAAGGCGCGCAGGCGCGCTGCGGGAGCCGGGCCGCCGCCCACGTCACCGCGCCGCGCACGTCACGCCGCCCGACGCTCGCAGGGTGAGCCCCGCGCCCCGGCGCCTCGGCAGGGCAGGGACCCCGGCCGAGCGCCGCCGGGACCGCCGCCCTCAGCCCGCCCGCCCGCGTGTGCGCGCCCGGTGTCCGCGCGCCGACCGCCCGCCAGGTGCGGCGGGCCGGGGTCCCGGAGGGGTGCGCGCGCTGAGCGCCCGCGGACCCCGCCGCCCCCCGCCCCCGCGCCGCGTGCGCCGACCCGGTCCCCGCGCGCCGAGGGCCGCCGCGTGGGCGCCCAGGTGACCGGCCCAGCGGGGTCGCGGGCCGGGGTCCCGGGCGGGGCCTGCGGGCGGCCTCCAGGCGGAGCGGCGCGCGCGTCCGCGTCCGCACCCGGCGGGGGTCGGAGCGGGGCGGGTCCGAGCGCGCGGGGTCTGGGGCGCGGGGTCCGGGCGGCGCCGGGCCCACCTGCCCGCCGACTGGCGGTTCCGGCGCGCGGGGGGCGCTCGCGGGTGGCGGCCGCGGCCTAGTGACAGGCCGGAGGCCGGGACCCCGGAAGCCCACCTGTCAGAGTTACCGGTCGGCCGGTGGTCGCGGGTGGGCCGGGAGCGCCCGTGGGGGGCGCGTGTGCGCGGGGCCGCGGTGCCAGGCTTATCCGCGCGGGGTCTTTGTGCGCGTCAGGGAGGCTGGGCGGGCATCCTGGTGGCTGACGGGCTTCCCTGCCTGGGATGACTTTAAAGTCACCAAGGTAGGGGGCATTTCTGGGCTGCGCGCGCTCTGGGGATGGGGTGTGGGGGTTTGGAAAGGAAGGCACCTGCTACCCGGAGGGGCAGTGGGGACAGCGGTGGTGCTGGGGGAACGTTGGTGTTACTTCTTGTTTCATCCTTACTCATTCCTCGTTTTTCCTTCTTCTTACCAGAAAAACCATTTTTCTTCTCTGGAGGGTGAACATTTATAGCATCGATTTCACGGATCTGGTAACATGGCAAAAGATGTAAGTATGTTTGCTTCCTGCTGGACAGACGTTTGCCTAGTGCTATGTTCTTGATAGGTTCCCACTTTGTTTCAGAATGACCACGCATAAGCCACAGAAGAGTTGATTTTCAGGCTTTTAAAGCACATGAAACAAGGTAAAGGTGAAAAGAATAGGAGAAACCCACAGCTTGTGTGGAGCCGTGCGCTGGCCTCTGCCTGGGCTTTGCAGGCCTGAGCACCGGGCGGTATGCTCCGTTAGGAGGCTCAGTCGCAGCCCAATTTCTGGGTCTTTGCCGACGGTTAACTTGTAAATCAATCATGCCTCCGTGGGAGGACACCCTGAGTGCATGAGGGCTGGGCCCGGCCCTGGGCTGCGCCCTGAGCACCTGCTTTGTGTACCTCGTGGGAAGTTAGTTCAGCTTCGACCCATAAAGCGCTAAGCACTGGTTTTGGCAACTCTTTTTCTCAGAAAGAGTGAAATTCGGTGATGAACAAAATGTGGTAAAAAATTCTACTTCAGCTTTGTATTTGTTATGAACCTGCAGGACGTAGTGAATAACTTTTCTTCACATTTTGCAAGAAATAGGCTTTTAGGCCCCCAAATATATTTTATGGGCCGTGTAGCCCTGTACTACCCTTGGTAATAGTTAACTGAAACCCCAGCTCTGTTCTTCAGTGTTTCTCAGAATGTGCTGTTCTGTGAACGTTAGGGAAAAGAGGCCGTGGACTTATTCACTCATTAATTGCACGGAAGTACAGCCCGAGACACAGCTGGAGGCGTAAAATGTGTCTGTATCTGTGGGACCACATAACAGGTGTGAAGTCCTCCCGCCAGCGTGTGTGGACTCGGGTGCCCCTGTGTGGTGTCTGTGGGTATGAGTTTATCATCTCTGTCGGTCGAAGGCCGTGCCTGCTTCTCTGCTACGTTCGCCCCAAGGACGCGGGCCGGGCAGCAGGCGCGCAGTAAGGGCGCTGCGGTGCCAGGGCTGGTGTTTGGGGGCCGAGTTTCTTGCCCTCCTGTGTTAACCCCCGGAGGAGAGCCGTCTTCCTCCTCCGGGGCGTCTGGGGGAAGTAAAGACGGACGGTCACGGCCCCGGGCCCGGCTGCAGGAGGAGGACTGCTTAGCGGCCTCTCCCGCTGGTCCCTTCTGGAGACATAGCCCCGCAAAGCGCGGGCAGCCCGGCGGCTGGGTGGAGTGATGCAGAACCATCCGTTGCCACGTGAGTAGGTGACACCGGCCGTGGAGGTCGGTGCCATGGTGATACCGGCCTGAGGAGATGCAGGTGAAGTGGCCTTGCCTGTGCTGAGCTGGGGGCCGTCAAGTGTGCTGGAACCAGGTCTCGCTGGGGCTGGGGGTCGGCGGGCTGGAGGCCACGGCCGGGTCAGGGCTTGGCCCGTGTCCCGCTGCCTGAGTCTTAAGGAGGGTGTGACGTTTGAGCCTGGGAAGCCGACCCTGGCAGCCAGCGGTAACTTAAGCAGTGGGGCCTCAGTGTGGTCTCTCGTGTAAGGTCAAAGCCCCTTGAGTTGAAGGGGGTGGTGGGCTGGGACTCCAACTCGACAGAGCTCTGGGGGCTCCGTGGGGGACTGTTGGGGCTGGAGGGGGCTGGGACGGGGCAGTGTGGGCTGTCCCCCTGCGGGTGGGCCAGTCTCCTGGGCACACCTGGAGCTTCTCTCCACCCCGTCGTAGGTGCGTCGGGCCCAGGGTCCTGCCCCACTGGGCCGAGGACCCCTGCGCGCTGCCGGCCTCGCTCGGGGTTTGGGGTTTGCCAGAGCCGTGACGGTGACGCCGGCGGTGAGGGTGGGGCAGAGTCGGGAGCAAGCGGTGCGTTCCCCCTGAACCCCGGAGGGTGGGGGTGGGGAGGGTGAGGGCACAGGCCAGTGGCGCCTGAGGCCGAGCTGCCTGCCCGCCGTGGGGCGTCTGTGCCTAGTGCACGAAGAGGTGAAGTCTTCGTGTGTTTTTCTAAAAGGCGTCTGGACAAAACACTGTCGTTCCCGCGTTTGACCATTTTCCGGCAATACGTGGAAAGAAGCCTGGTGGCTCGGTGGTTCACCACCACCGTTCCCTTTGGAAAGTGGGTCTCCGCGCCGTCCTTAACTTCCCTGGCCCCTTCTTTGCTCCCGGGACCCTCGGCCCTCGAGTGTGGGACTCACACCAGAGCTCAGGGACTGTCCTTAATGTGCACGTGGCGGTGTTGCCACGATTTCCTGTGACGAGGCCCGTGGGTCAGAGGCGCGCGGGTCGAAGGTGGTGGCGACGCTGTTGGCGGCGCCGTCCTGGGGCTGCCTGTTCCCTCCCCCATGGGGACTTGTCACCCTGGTGAGTGGAAATGCAGTTCATTGGCTATTGATTTATGAAGCTGAGTATCTGTGGGTTTTATTTTGTGCCTCTGGTCCCATGACAGATCCTGATGGGAGGGTTTCCAGTGCCCAGGACGCTCCTGCGGTGAATGTAGGCGTGGAAGGAAATGTGAAAACTGTCACCATCAGAGATGTCTCATTGTACTAAAAATTGCAGTTGTGTGAAGTAGAGTGGATGGCGTCTGACGTTGTGCATGTGTGCCTGTGTGTGTTTCCTGAGCATGTGTGTTTCCTGAGCGTGTGTGTGTAGGGGGCCGAGCGTGTGCATGTGTGCGCGTCTGCATGTGTGTGTGTGCTGAGCGTGTGCGCGTGCTAAATGTGTGGTGCACGCGTGTCCCTGCCTGGGCTGCCTCCCCTTCAGGTCTGTGGCCCTGATGAGTGCTTTGGTGCCATTGGCCTTTGGAAGACTGTGGGTTTAAGATAAAGGGCCTGTGTAGTGGCTGTAGTTGTTCTAGAACTGGACTGGAGGGGCCGCAGGGAGAGAGCCCGTGACTAGCCCCCGCCCCAGCCGTCGGAGTGACCCTCGGAAGGAGGACACGGGGCTGGCGTCCCCACTGGGAGGACCAGTCCTCCTCCAGCGTCACAAAGGTTTGAAAAGAGCAGGTGGGGGGTAGTCAATTCATGAAATCTCAGGCCTGCGCTTTGCGGAGATGTTCCTGGGACCCTCCCCTCCCTGCTTCAGGTTGGGGGCAGAGGGCAGGTGAGCCGCGGTTCGGCCCCAGCAGTCCCGGGAGGGCCTGTGAGTTGCCGTCAGGGCTCGGGGGCCTCACCGTGGAGCTGCTCTGTGGTTGTACTTTGCGTTCCGTGAGTTTATGGAAAAACCCCTGGATTGTGTTATTGAGGGCAGGAGACCGAAGAAACACGCGTGGAATCTAAGCTTGTGAGGGATGCGTAACAAGGCCTGGTTTAATGAGCTTGTCTACAAACACACATCCTGAATGCTGTTTCCCAGGCCTGGGCCTCGGTGATGAGATTCGGGCCGCGGAAGGGGACCTGGGCTGGCGGGACCGGCCGTGTCTCTCAGGCCGTGAGGTGAGGGCCCGCCGGGCGCTGACGGCGCTTCTCTTCCCGCTTGAGACACGAGCGAGAGAGCTCAGCCCGCTCCGGCGAAAGCGGTGAAGCCAACACTGCTGTGCTTGTTTGTCGACGGGCTTTTCCGGTTTCGGAATCACCTTTTTTCTCCCCGGAATGAAGTTGGAGAAACTCTGAGGCCGTGTGAAGAGCAGGGCGCTGTGGCAGGACCAGCAGTGCCGCCCTGGACCCCGCGGCTGCGTCGCACCTGGTGGAAAATGCTGTCTGCCTCCTGGTACAGCCAGGATGCTTTCTCAGCCCTGCTCCTCGGTGAGCGAGTCACCCCGGGGTGCGCTGTGGACCTGGGGCTTGGCACCCAGCCTGACGTGCATTGTGACCCCTCGGGACGTTTTCCGCACACAGTCCCTTGCTGGAAGCCCTTCTCTCTGGTGTTGAGCAAGCCTCGTTTTTCTTCAGCGTAGAACAGGGTGGTTCTTGCTCGGACGCCAGCCCTGGCTTCTCCTCCTGTGGCTCTGTGCTGTTTGTTGAGGGGGTCTAGGCCTCGGGGGGAGCGGGGATGGGCCACAGCCCTGGGTCACTCGTGGCATGAGGGCCAGACCTCTGCAGTGTGGCATCGCGTTGGCCCAAGTGGAGGTGGGACTCAACCCGGCCCCTCTGCTCAGACGGGCACGGCCGGTACGGAGTCTGTCTATGCTGCGCGGGCCTGGACGGGAGCCGGCGGTGGTGGCTCAAGAGTCGTGGCACTATCTGGGCCCGGAGCAGATGTGCTGCACGGATTTCAAGGGTCCAGGGTGAAGTTGGACTTATTTCTCTCAGCCTCTGTTGTTTTTTGTTTGTTTGTTTTGTTTCTGTTTTTGTTTTTTGCAGTACGCGGGCCTCTCACTGTTGTGGCCTCTCCCATTGTGGAGCACAAGCTCCAGACGCACAGGCTCAGTGGCCATGGCTCACGGGCCCAGCCGCTCCGCGGCATGTGGGATCCTCTCGGACCAGGGCACGAACCCGTGTCCCCTGCATCGGCAGGCGGACTCTCAACCACTGCGCTACCAGGGAAGCCCAGCCTCTGTTGTTTGAGCTCAGGACTCTGTCCATCAAGGTCCTGTTTTCACAGGATCCAGATTTTAAGGGGATTCTGGTTTGACAGAGTGAAACCCCTGGGCCTCCCTTGGGCCCTGAAACGCAGCACCTCCTGACACCTGTACCCCGGTGTCCCAACAGATGACTTCGTGTCACCGAGGGCCCAGAGGGACACGGAGCGCTTGCTGGATGATACCCAGGGTGGGATTCTGCCTGTGGACCAGGCCGCGGGCCATGCCGCTCTGCCTCCCTGCCCAGTCACAGGTGACAGACTTACCGGCCCTTCCTGGTCCATCCCACAGAGGACTCGCCACCCCAGGGGTTCTCTGTGGCAGCCGTGAGTTTGTCTTTGCTGGTTGACGTCGCACCAGCAGGCTTTTTGGTCACAAACCTTGGGTTTTCCTTTTAGCAGAAGTTCCGCAAGGAACAAGTGTGAATTACTGAAAAAGTTCAAGGAATGTTTCTCGTGATCGTAAATGCATTGTTAGTTGTGCCAGAGTTGGAAAAGCTCCAGGAAAACGAAAACAAGAGAAAGAAGCCATCTGCCAGCCGGCA